CTTTCCCTCTATCTTGGACACCTCTAAGTTGGACACATTTTCGTGGAACCACAAGTGTCCAACCTAGAGAGGTTTTACTGTACTTTTAATACTCTTAACTCATCTGCAAGAGTGTGGAAGAAGGAGTTTGTACCGTAATTTGAGACATTGTCTTATGTGGAGGGACTGAGTAAAACCACGAAAAACTTCAGTCATTGTAGCTGATATCTGAGTCAAGTTTTGGAGTAGGAACTTACGAACGCCAAGAAGACGAGCTAAGCACTCGACTGCAGCGTTTGGTAAATATTCTTTAGAATTGTTTTTGTGACGTAATTACACGAGGACTTTAATAACCCAAAGCTGTGAAAACAATAGAAATTAATGTATATGCCGGTTCGAATTTTTAATGCTTATAGGGAATCTATCTGACAAGTTTTTTTTTTTTCGCTTGTACTATTTGAAGCTACAGCGATGTTAAATTTCTGCTACATCATTTGTGTTTAAACATAAGGTTGCACAAAATAATACTGCTCCTCTCTGTTTAAAACATAAAATTAATCTTCTTGCGTGTAAGAGCATAATTCCAAAGCCTCTGCCTCATTAGAACCCACTGACAATGCAGACAAACACGGAAATACATTTTGCGTTGTTTCGATACTTTGTGTGGAAAGATTAAATTATGATCGCGTCTGTACGTTTTGTGCCACTTAAAATAGGCGAGTGGCGTTTAACCACTTGACGGATTTTCATTAGATGCTCATGCCACGGAAAGCCACCTCGCCTTTTTACTTTCAAATTTCTCAGTAATAGCAGTATCGCCGAAACGTCTGAAATTCCGAGAGATATTAATGACAGTAGAGATTTCTGAAATTGTTTGTGGTAATAGATAAATAATACACATATTTAAAAAAAGTTACATCCGGCGAATATGAAGATGAGAGTCTTCTGGGATGTTGGTAAAAGTTTACCGACGTTTCAGATATGTTTACTGCCTCCATCATCAGGGTGGTGAAGATGTTAAGCACCTCTAAGATGTTGGTAAATATCGACGCTACTTCACGGCGCAAGAGACATTGATATGGATGGGACAGTATATCACAGTTTTCCTCAGGAAATGAGGAAATTCTTTTTTACTGACTGTGTTGGAATTGAATGGCTCGTTAGTGGACACATCTTCAGGAACGGCTTTTCTCAACAAAGATAATTTGGCATAGATATAGAAATTGTGTGTCGGATATTAAGAAAATCAAGTGTAAACATATAATTAGGATTAAATCGCCCTCAAGGGTTCGAAGGTGAGATTTCGTGTTGACGGTAAGAAATTTTCAGATCCTAGGAGGTATCATTTCATAAACTGCTTGGAGAATTTCCCGTGGAAATCTGTTACTAGTTACGCTTTTAGTCAGACGGTAAATAATATCCTATTCTTTCTAATTACTTTTCTTATTTATTTCTTTAGAATTATGTAACTGTATAGAATTAGTTGCGAAATAACAGATTTCTTTTCGCGTTGACATAATTAGTGATGCGCTTATAATTAATACGTTTGCTAAAAATATTCAGATTTTCTGAAATTCGTTCCTTTAAATTTCAGTGCATCACAGTCCATGTTCGTAATTTACATTTTAATTACGATATCTTGAAACTGCAGTGGCCCAAATTCGTTATACTACGGCCAATTTATAAAACTCTGAGCTCTGTCCGCTGTTCTAGGAAAATTATAATAAAATTTATATTTTCGCGTAATACGTTAATAGAAAGATCGTCAGATTTAATTAATAATTATCCAAAATTAAATGTTAAATTAAATGTTTAGATGCTATTTATCGAATAATAATACTTGAATAATTCGTTTTGTTACATCCTGGTATTATATTTTTTTTCAGATACTGTGAGATCACACACGTGCTCTGTAATGGGGGTATATTTTTTTACTTCAGACTGATGCAAATGAGTGTCGCATGTGATTTGATACTTTGGGGTGTATGGGTAGACAAATTGTCCGTGAAATAGAACAGTACGAACGCAGACAGGCTCCAGGGCCCTCGCTTCAGCGTATCAGTGACAACTTTCTGTCGGACTCCAGTCTGTGTACCGTGCGTCATCCACAGATTTCAGCCAGGGGCGAGCGAGAGTTTTCGTTTCTCGGGAGAAACATGAAGATGGCGTTCATTTCCTTTTACTAACTCTTGGAATATTCTCCCATTTTCTGGCCTCGTGTTCGTGGTTTAAGTTTCAGTTTCTCTGTAAAACGCCATCAGAGCGCGTGCATTGTTCCTACTCGGAAATTCGAGAGGTATTTACAGTTTCTTATCAGTCCTTCTTACCCCAACGTTTGTCGTAGAGCTGATCGCAGAGGTCTGTCTTTCAGTATCATGGCTCTGAAGCCGTTCTTCTCCTATTCTGCACTAACCGGGACTCCAAATCACTTTTACAAAATTCATTTCCGGTCTCAATAATTAAGTCTACTAAGTCGATAAATCGGTTTTCGCGCTCTGAGCATACGTACATACAAATAACTTCAATGACGTGGTTTTCTCGCGTTAAGTAATTCAGTTTTCCTTTTGATGGTGAATATTAAACGACCAATTAATCAGGACATGCGAATTTTTTTTATGGAAATAGGTCACATACGAATCTACAAAGTTTCTGTATAGATGTTTTCGTATGTTCGCGTAACGAGGAGCTTCGTAATTTTGACTGTTTCGGAAATTCTGTAGCGCTAATCAGATCGATGCGGAACGTGGGAGTTCGTACAAAACCTTTAGTCGGTAAACCTTAATGCATGTGCGCAGATGGACGGACTGTATTTGAATTGATCTCAAGGCAAATGGAGTGCGAATGTGTGGGTTGGATAAATCTAACTCAGAATAAGGTCTACTGGTTAGCTCTTGTGAACACGGTAATGGACGGCGGGGAACTTCATGGCTAGCTGAACAACTGTTAGCTTCTGAAAAGGGATTTACAGCATGGAGTTGGTTAATAGTTAGGTGTATAAATTCTTGTGTCTTACCCTTAAACGTGCTCGTAATCTGTATTTACTAGAGTAAATAATGCACAGATTTGGATCGTTACATTTTATAATTATTAATTTATAGTTCTCGCTAGCGTCACCAGAAGGAAAGTAGGCGTCATAGCGTTATTCCCGGCACTTATAATTGTTATAGACGACTCTCGGTGTGGGTACTGTGTCTATCCATGCATGACGTAAGCAATGCGCGTCTTATCGTAAAGGCACCTCGTGAAAGGTAGAAATATAGTTTAGTACATCTTCATACGTAAGGAATCATTGGAACATAAATGAATTAGAAATGTAAAATAATTGCCAATTACCTTTAATAGAGAAAACGTCGTTTGCCGTAGGCTCGTAGTTACGTGTTCCTTGACGAGGAAAAGGTGAAACGTTTTGTCATACTTTTAGTGTCCCATGTTTTATTAGTCTGTTTTGCACAAAAATATGTTTACGACACATCATAATGAGCTCGCGTTTGTGAACTTTCTCGTCACCGCCCTTCTGAACTGATGTCAAAAAATAAGCCTCCCACACAACCGCCCCGCCCTGCGCCACCGTCCTCCAGCCATGACAACTCGTTGCACAAACTCTTAAATTGGAATAAATGTTAATTTATCTTTGCAGTTGTGCGTCTTCCGTGTTCTGAGTGTCAGACATGCGCAGTTCAAGGCTTTTTTTTAAGTCTTCTTCACCTTTCTCTTGTTAACACTAGGAATACGTAAGTGCGATTCCCTGAAAAGTATTACCGAGCTTTTAATAAGCGACTAATTTAAAATTTAAGAGATTATTTACCTGCGTCTTTTTCTGGGAATGGCGTCGTTTCTTTCGGCCCCATAGTCGGAACCTGTGAACAAGAACAAAAAAATAATTTAACTTAATATACGATGTCCCCTGGAGAAAACTGCACAATGACGAGCTTAAAAATCTGCGCTCCTCCCCCAGTATTGTCAGGGTGATTAAGTCGAGAAGAATGAGATGGGCAGGCATGTAGCGCGCATGGATGGGACAAGAGGTGTGCACCGGGTATTGGTTGGGAAGCCTGAGGGGAAGAGACCGCTGGGGAGACCTAGACGTAGATGGGAGGATAATCTCAGGCGGGATCTATGGGAGATAGGAGTTGAAGGAAACTGGATTTTGTTGGCCCAGGACAGGGCTTTGGTTAAGTCGGTGATGAACCTTCGGGTTCCGTAAGCCATCT